GAAAGATGTCAGGTCGTGGTAAAGGAGGTAAAGGACTTGGAAAAGGAGGCGCCAAGCGTCATCGTAAAATCTTACGAGACAACATCCAGGGAATCACAAAGCCCGCCATTCGTCGTCTTGCTCGTCGTGGTGGTGTGAAACGTATCTCTGGTTTGATCTATGAAGAAACTCGCGGTGTTCTCAAAGTTTTCCTCGAGAATGTGATCCGTGATGCCGTCACCTACACTGAGCACGCCAAGAGAAAGACTGTCACTGCCATGGATGTTGTCTATGCCTTGAAACGACAAGGACGAACCCTCTACGGCTTCGGTGGTTAGGTCAATCTCGTGTCAAGACAAAGAAATAACAAAAACCGGCTCTTTTAAGAGCCACCACTTTCTCAAAAGAATATATACGATCTCGATTCATAAATACTCTGATATTGCACATTTCTATATGCTACCACTATTATAAATATCTACCTATATTGCTCAATACATTTCCCAATGCCAATGTTTTTGATCATATAAAACTACCATGCAACGCCTAGACATGCACATACTGTAGACTAAGACTTGTGTATGTAGCCGTGAGTTTGGATTATTCCAAATCTCCTTAGGAAACCTTGCGCTTCTCCAAAGCAATTGCTATCGGTGCGAAACCCTCTTCGCTGTTTGTGTAATATAAATCGATACTAATAAGTAACCAACATTTCAGATAAGATACGAAATATGATATTGGATGAGTACGAGAGCTTTACGACCGCCGCGTTCTACAAATGATTTTCCCCATTTAATCTAGCTTACTTGAAATAGCATTTTTAAAAGAACGACTCAGTTCAACGTTTATAACGCTGATATAAACGTTGTTCGACGTGGCGCGTCCTTACTTTACATATCAATTGAACATTCTGTTGTGATCATGAATGGATAAATGTTGTGATGCATGTACTCAGTCAGCACCATTTTTATTAACCTGAGCATGAAGTTATTTTGCTTCCCCGCTGTGGGAATCGAACTCTCGCGACCTTTGCCTTTGGGCTTTTGTTTGGCTAGTTCAATTGCAATACAAACTGAGCTCTCAGAGAGCATCGTCTCGCAAACGAATATTCCATGCTTGAAAGGCAATCATGCAATAAATTAATAGAAAAATTACCATATTTAGTTAATTATGCTATTTCTCTTTTAATAATGGCTTTATTTCGCAAATTTTGGGTTCCTACTGGAACCGTAGTCGTAGAAGACACAGAAATATCCGCGGAGGAGACAGGCTAAATAGACCGCGCTGTTTTGCGATCTTTTAATGTTCGTGTGGACAGTTCGTCTTTTTCTATAAGGGTTGATCCATCTTCAAGGATGATAAAGAAGGTTGGGGAACTCGATGCAGACATTAATCTATGTTTTTGTCTGGTTTATGCAAGAGATGGTCGGTTCATCGTCACGTGTATATTGTTTTTTCGACCAACCAACCAATAGCACTTATAGCAGTGTGTTGGTTTAATTACCCAGTCGTAATATTAAACAATGGCTAGATGAAAACATAGGTATTGGCTCCTCTAGCGAATCATTTTTTTTTCATAAATCCGACCATTTTTTTGCATAAACGAAGACAAAAACATAGATGCATCGAGTTCCCTAACGTTATTCTATTGATTATGATCGGGCTAATGATTCACTTATACAAAAGAGCAAGCCATGTTAAGTGGCTTCCAAACCGACTGTTAAGTTACTCCTCGTGTTTCGCCTCCGCATAATTAGGCCCCGTTTACACTATACCGGATTGCATCGGAGCGTAGCGATTTTCATACCGGATTCGGCTGCTGTTTACACTACAGAGTAAAAATTAATCCGGTATGAAAAGTAATCTGGTATAGTGTAAACGGGGCCTAAAGTGATTATTGCCTAAATTATTTTCCCCAAAATCTCTTACTTCGTTTGTGGCGATGTCTGGGACTACTAGTACAATCAAAATAAAATAGAAAATAGGTCAGAAAAAATAGTAAAAAGCCAAAAATTGGCGTATGCACTCTCTTCAGCAACCTTGATAACATACTAAAAGTCCTCATGTATCCTCTTGGAGCTTTCTCCATTATGACAAGTTTTTTGTTCGATTTCCCTATTAAACTCCTATATTGTTAAAAAAGTGAAATTTCAGATTCATTTATAGGAAAAATAAGTTACATCATTAGAAAACTTACAAAAAACTACATATAAGACAGTAAACGGCTACCTTGATTTTGCAAGTTATTCTTGAGTTATGAGCTGTTGGAAACGTGTTGTCAGACTAGTACCCAGGATTTTTGCCAGATTTTGGCCTATTTTTCACAATTGGAACATCAATAACTCGAAAACCGCTTGAAAAATTTAGGTGACTGTTTAAATGTCTTATATGTAGTTTTTATGAGCTTTCTAGTGATGCGAGTCATTTTTGTTATGAGTGAACTTGAAATTTCACGTTTTTTAACAATATGGGAGTAATAGGGAAATCGAAAAAAACTTGTCATAATGGAAAAGCTCCAAGAGGATACTTGGGGACTTCTAGTATATTGTTCAGGATAGTTAAATGATTGCACCTAACAATTTTTAGCTTTTTACTATTTTTTTCCAACCTTGGCCTTAAAATGAGCTAAAATTACTGAACTATACCTACAGGCTAGGACATTTGGCAATCAGCGCAGCCCCGAGGCAAAAGTATTTGACAATTTCAGCATAGCATCCGTGTACAGTTAAAAAATAATGAGACTTTTCATATTTTTATCCTGTTTTTAAGTTCTTACCCC